CTCTCTCTCTGTGTGTGTGTGTGTGTGTGTGACTATCATAAATTAAAAAAAAAAAAAAGATCTCAGCTCCAGATCTCAGGGTCATGAGTTCAAGTCCCACACTGGGCTCCATGCTGAGTGTGAAGCCTACATACATACATACATAAATAAAGAGGTAACATGTATTTAGTTTAATATCCTTTACAAAATTGCTTGGTTTACCACTGCTGCTTCTGTCCCACAGCTTCCTCTTGGATTCACATTTTTTTTTAAGTTTCCGTAGACTGCATCCTCTAGTATTTCTTTCAGTTAGCATTCACGAGTAATGAACTTTCTGAATACTTGCTTCTCTGAAAGCATTCTTATTTTGCCCTTATATAGATAAACTGGTTTTTATTACAGCATTTCTGATAATGTGTAGGGTTTTTTCCCCCATGTCAACCAATTTTCTAACTCTCTGGACACCAACTGGATGTCCTATAAATTTCTTTTTTTTTTCTTTTTTCCTTTTTTTTTTTTTTTAAGTAGGCACGGGGCTTGAACTCACAACCCTGAGATCAAGACCTGGGCTGAGACCAAGAATTGGAGGCTTAACTGAGGCAAAATCAATTTAATTCATGCACTGTTAATGTTGGACCCCACAGCTTAAGGAGTCTGCCACACTTGAGATGTCAATCCCAAGTCCCAGGCCCCCTGCACTTCTGACTACCCAGCTATACATTGGAGTTCCCATGACTCCCTCCCTCAGGTTGGATAACTTACTGGAATGGATTGCAGAACTCAGGAAAATACTATTAACAGCTTATTATAAGGGATACAACTCCGGAGCATCAAAATGGAAGAAGTACATAGGGTAAAGTGTGAGGGAAGGGGCAAAGCAGTGCACATCCCCTTTCCTGCTTGCCACCCTCCCAGCACCTTGATGTGTTCACCAGCCTGGAAGCTCTCTGAACCCCCCAACCCTTTAGTGTTTTTTAATGGAGGTTCATTATCGGTTTCAGTAGAATTCAGTGATTTATCACTTATATACAACACCCAGTGCTCATCACAACAAGTGCCCTCCTTAATACCCATCACCCACCTAGCTCATTCCCCACTCACTTCCCTCTGTAACCCTCAGTTTATTCTTCATTGTTAAGAGTCTCTCATGGCTTGCTTCCCTCTCTTTTTGTCTCTCCTCCCCATATGTTTAACTGTTTTGTTTCTTAAATTCTACACATGTGAAATTATATTGTATTTGCCTTTCTCTGACTTATTTCACTTAGCATAATATACTCTAGCTCCATGCACATCATTGCAAATGGCAAGAGTTCATTCTTTTTGATGGCTGTGTAATATTCCATTGTACACATATGCCATGTCTTCTTTATCCATTCATCAGTCAATAGACATTTGGGCTCTTTCCATAGTTTGGCTATTGTTGATAATGCTGCTATAAACATAGGGTGCATGTGCTCCTTCAAATATATATTTTTGTATTCTTTGGGTAAATAGTAGTGCAATTGCTGGGTTAGACTTTAACTATTTTTAACTTTTTGAGAAACCTCCATACTGTTTTCCAGAGTGGCTGCACCAGCTTGCATTCCCACCAACAGTACAAGAGAGTTCCCCTTTCTCCACATCCTTGCCAACATCTGTTGTTTCCTGAGTTGTTAATTTTAGTCATTCTGACAGGAGTGAGGTGGCATCTCATTGTAGTTTTAAGATTTTTATTTATTTATTCATGAGATACACACAGAGAGAGGCAGAGAGAGGGAGAAGCGGGCTCCTTGCAGGAAGCCTGATGTGGGACTTGATTCCAGGACTCCAGATCACACACTGAGCCAAAGGCAGATGCTCAACCACTGAGCCACCCAGGTGTCCTTCATTGTCATTTTGATTTGTATTTCCCTGATGATGAGTGATGTTGAGCATCTTTTCATGTGTCTGTTAGCCATCTGGATGTCTTCTTTGGAAAAGTGTCTATTCATGTCTCCTGCCCATTTCTTAACTGGATTATTTGTTTTTTGGTGTTGAGTTTGAGAAGTTCTTAATATAGATTTTGGATTCTAGCCCTTTATTAGATATGTCATTTGCAAATATCTTCTCCCTTTTCGTAGGTTGCCTTTAGTTTGTTTCCTTCACTGTGCAGAAGCTTTTTATCTTAATGAAGTCCCGATAGTTCTATTGCTTTGGTTTCCCTTGCCTCTGGTGAAGTGTCTAGTAAAAAGTTTCTATGGACTATGTCAAAGAGGTTGCTGCCTCTGTTCTCCTTTAGGATTTTGATGGTTCCCTGTCTCACATGTAGGTCTTTCATCTATTTTGAATTTATTTTTGGGTATGGTATAAGAAAGTGGTCCAGTTTCATTCTTCTGCATGTTGCTGCCCAGTTTTCCCAAGATCGTTTGTTGAAGAGACTGTCTTTTTTTTTTTTTTCCATTGGATATTCTTTCCTGCTTTGTCGAAGATTAGCTGACCATAGAGTTGGGGGGTCCACTTCTGGGTTTTCTATTCTGTTTGTTCCATTGATCTGTGTGTTTTTGTGTCAGTACCATACTGTCTTGGTCACTACAGCTTTGTAATTACTTTGAAGTCTGGAATCATGATGTCTCCTGCTTTGCTTTTTCAGGATTGCTTTGGCTATCCAGGGTCTTTTGTGGTTCCATATACACTTTAGGATTGTTTGTTCTAGGGGATCCCTAGGTGGCTCAGTGGTTTAGTACCTGCCTTCGGCCCAGGGTGTGATCCTGGGGTTCCAGGATCGAGTCCCACATCGGGTTCCCTGTGTAGAGGCTACCTCTCTGTGTCTCTCATGAATAAATAAAATCTTAAAAAAAAAAAAAAGAATTGTTCTAGCTCTGTGAAAAACGCTGGTAGTGTTTTGATAAGGATTACATTAAATGTATAGATTGCTTTGAGTAGTATAGAAATTTTAACAATGTTCTTCCAATCCATGAGCATGGAATGTTTTTCCATTTCTTTGTTGTCCTCTTTACTTTCTTTCATAAGTATTCCATAGTTTTCAGAGTACAGATTTTTTTTCTTTCAAGTTTATTCCTAAGTATTTTATTATTTTTGGTGCAATTGTAAATGGGATTGATTCCTTGATTTCTTTTTCTGCTTCGTGATTGGTGTATAGAAATGCAACAGATTTTTTGTATGTTGATTTTATATCCTGTAATTTTGTTTAGTTAATTTATTAGTTCTAGCAATTTTTTTTTTTGTGGTATCTTTTGGGTTTTTTACAGAATGTATTGTTGCAAGTGACAGCCATTCCAGAATCTGAAGGTTTTGGGACAGTATCTGAAAAATCAGATACTTTTGAAGGGTTTTAAAAAGCAAACCACCACCAACAAAAAAGCAGAACCGTGTCATGACCAGATTCATATTTTAGATCATCCTGGCTGTCCTGAGGAGAGAAGGGAGCAATGGGGCCAGACTGGGGGCAAGAACAGCAATTCAGGTAGAAGCTGTTCCTAACAGAACAGTTAGGAGGCAGCTACAACAATCCAGGTAAGAGGAGATGCAGAACAAGGGATCAGTTATGACTCCCACACGAATGATTTGGTTGGTGGATGGAGAGGGGTGCTGAAACCATGCTCCACAGGGTTAATGAGGTAAAATGTTACCAGCAAGACCTCCACGGAGCCCCTTTCTTCACAGGAATGTTAACTTTATCTTTTAGAGGCAAACAACAGGAAGAGCTCCAGCTGGCCTAAACCAGTTCCAGCTCTGACCACTGGCTCACACTGTGATCTATCTAGATCATGGAGTATTTTGCCTCATTAAAATCTCACTCCAGAGAAGCACAAGCTTTATTAACATAACACAGAATGCATGTATAGGCATGTTTTCTAAGTACACCTGTGCAACCTTATGCCCACCTTTACATGTGATGACAAAACTCTCCTTTCTGAATATTCATGCTAACCTAAAATAAAAAGAACCCGCTCACCTCTGCTGTGCGAGTCACAGCCTTGGGAGTGATTCCTGGTGATTCCTTCAGTGCAAAAAAAGTTTCCTTTGTCTGACAACTCCACCTGGTGTAGTCTCTACCTGTAACGCACCAAGAAACAACTCACCTCGTTGGGTTACAGTTTGTGGGGGGGCAGGGGCAAGGCAACCCTGGAAAGTGGAACAGGAGGGCGAGGAAAGGAGGATGAGATCAGCCTGGAACAGTTTTAGGTTCTCGTGGATTAGCCAAGTAGAAAGAGACAGCAGGCAAGTTAATACGCAGGACTTTAGCTCAAAGGGGTCTGCACAATGTCTGGCCAGGAGGAAGCTGTGCTACCCTATTATTCTACCGGGCCTGGGGAAAGAGATAGGGGAGCGTGTCACAGGGAGCCGGCCACCACACAGGAGTATGTCAGCGCTTCTTTATGCTGCAGATCCAGAGCTGACTCCGTGACTGTGCGGAGTTCGAGTTCGAAACTACTGCCGGTTCCCAGTTAAGGAACGGAAGCACAGGGGATCCCCGGGGGGCGCAGCGGTTTGGCGCCTGCCTTTGGCCCAGGGCGCGATCCTGGAGACCCGGGATCGAATCCCACGTCGGGCTCCCGGTGCATGGAGCCTGTGTGTCTCTCTCTCTCTCTCTCTCTCTCTCTCTCTCTCTCTCTCTCTGTGACTATCATAAATAAAATTTAAAAAAAAAAAAAAAAGAAAGAAAGAAAGAAACGGAAGCACAGAGTTTCAGTCACCCGCACGGAGCCTACAGCGACCAGCTGGTGGAGCCGGGGCCCGAACCGGACAGTCAGACCTGGCACTTGGCGATCTCAGGTGCCGGGCCAGTGGCCGCTGGACAGAGCCTGGGGCCGGGGGTTGGCGAGGCGGTCACGATACTGCCGGCGACCCTCGGGCCGCACAGTGCGTGGCGGGCTCGGGGTCCCGGGCAGGCGCCCCGCGCAGGGCCGGACGCAGGCGGCGCGCCTGGCTCGGCACCACGGAGACGGCGGCCTCCCGGCTTCCTAGAGCGGCGCGGGCGGGGAGCGCCCGGGCTCGCGCTTCCGCCTCGGCTGCGCCCGCGCCCGCGCCCGCGCCCGCCCCCGCCTCCGTGCGGCGGCCCGGCCCGCGGGGTCCCCGAGCTCGGGCGGCGGAGCTGCGGACGCGCCCTCGGCCTCCTGCCCCGCGGCGCTGGCCTGACCCCCGGCTCGCGGTACTCGGGGTGGGGCCGGCGGCGCGTCGGGGCGGAGCGTTCCGGTGCCCGTCGCGTCTGCGGGCAGCGCCGAGCCCTGGGGCTGGGGCGCCGAGCGCTTCCCCTCCCCCGGGGCCCGGGGCTCCGTTTTCCTGCTTTGCTCTAAATTCTCGCTTTGGGTTTTTGCCACGTTTGCTAGAACCGTTCGGGACAAACTACTACTTAGTAATTCATTCGTAGTGGCCCAGGGATTTCCTTGACTCTTGCCCCGCAGACGTTCTTTCGAGGAATTTTAAGCCTCACCAGGCAGATTTGTAGAATTTATTTATTTTTTAAAGGTTCTATTTATTTATTCGTGAGAGACAGACAGAGAGGGGGAGAGAGAGAGAGAGAGAGGCAGAGACCCAGGCAGAGGGAGAAGCAGGTTCCCTGCAGGGAGCCCGACGCGGGGACTCGATCCCGGGTCTCCAGGATCGCGCCCTGGGCTGCAGGCGGCGCTGAACCGCTGAGCCACCGGGGCTGCCCCAGATTTGTGGAATTTATAGATGCAGGAAGCAGATGCAGCACCCCATGAACCACTGGAGAAGGTGCACCGAGAGCATCCACAGTGTCCCAAGAATATTGTTTCCAATGAGAGAGGCAGGGAGACGGAGGGGGAAGAGGTGGGGAACAAGGCAAGGTCAGCCTCATTGTCATTCTCTCTCTTAGCCCCGCAGGTTCTTGCCTTTCCAAACAGAGAGGGCAGTGCATGAAGCCAGGGGTCATCAGCCATGCTCCAGACAGTGTGGCCCCAGGTGAGCTGAGCTTTCTTCCAGCTTTCCACATTCAGAACAGATCTGATCCATCACTACAGGAGTAGTAGCCTGACCTGGCCAGTGTTGTGCCTAGCTTTGCATCCATCAGTTGAGTATGGCAGAGGAGTATGTTAGGGGAAGTGATGAGGGCGAGTAGGTAAATGGGAGGATCGGGTTGCTTGGAAATGAGGGAAGCTCCAGCTAAGAAACTCTCCAAGAAAGTGAGGATCTGTGCAGACTAGGGACCATAAAAGTATGGCTCACAGATGAGCAGCTTCGGCATCACCCAGGGGCTTGCTAAAAAGGCAGAATCTTAGGCCCCGACACAGATATCCAGAATCAGAATCTATGTTTGTATGATATCTGGGGAATGAATGGACAAGTTAAAATTTGGGGAGTGCTAGTCCGCATCACACCATACAGAGGAAGGCCACATGCTGCGTTTAAAAAGGCATTCCCACAGGAGGAGCTTGCCCTGTAGATCACAAAGTCAGTGCACAATGAAGCCAGCACTGAGGAGCCTTTGGAGGGTGTGGATTGATGAGGGAGGTAGATTCCTGGAGGAACACGGAGTTTGGAGCTGATGCCAGTGCCACCAGCCCATTGCAAAGATTATAGCTTAACCTCTGTGAAAGCCTGAACCCTTTGTTGGCACAAATTCATACAGCACTGGAAGCAGTGGTCCTTCCAAAAATTTCCTGGCACTAGAGGATGCTTGCATTGAATTTTTCTCCAGCATTCTAGATCATGTCATGAGAAGCCTGGTGTCTCATGTAATGGATGTGTCATGTAATTAGGAACCCTGTTCAAGACTCAAGGATGATGTGTATGTAGACACTGGACCATCCACCCCTGTTCCAGCACTTAAGCCAAAATTAGTTCCAAGTCAGGAAATGTTTAAACATCTGTAGGGGCAATCTCTTCTCTCCTAGTGCTTTATGTGGGGTATGGTAGTCACTCAGGATTGGGTTCCAATAAGGAGACCTGAAGTGACAGTGGCTTAAAGGAGATAGAGGCTTCTTTCCCATGCAAGAGAAGTCGGGGAGAGGCGGTCCAGGGATGTTGTAGCAGTGCCAGTGTTATCACACACCAGGCTCTTTCACTTCACCATCAGTGTTATCACTTCACCATCTTACCACTGACTCTTATGTTCAGGGCCATTTCACGGTCCAAGGTGGCTGCTTTATCTCCAGCTATCATGTGTGCATTCCAGATGGAGATGACAAAAAAGCCTAACCTCTCATTTGTTTGCACGCTTTCAGGAACCTTCCCGGAGAGTCCCCAACAATTTTTGTACTTGTGTTTCATTGGCTTCACTTAGTTGCCAGAGCTGGGAGCAGCCCCAAGTAAAATTACAATTTGATTATTAAAAAAGAAAGGGAGGGAAAAAAAATACACATGCATATATGTTTAGACAACGGTCATGCTTTTTTTTTTTAAGATGTATTTATTTGAGTGAGAATGAGGGAGAGAGAGAGAGAGAGAGAGAGAGAGCGTGAAGGGGGTAGGAGGCGAACAGAGGGAGAGGGGGAGAGAGAGAATCCTTGAGCAGACTCCCCACTGAGCATAGAGCCTGACGTGGGGCTCGATCCCCACACCCTGGGATCATGACCTAGGCTAAAATCTAGAGTTGGCCGCTTACCTGACTGAGGCATGCAAGCCCCCCTAGACAACTGTGTTATCTATAATCTCTATGAGAAATGTTCCCCTAATCTCATTTGTACTTGTAAGTGCAGGGATTTATATAACACCACGTGCCAGACAATATTTTAGTTCATTACATGTATCAACTCATTCCACCCTTATAAGAGCCTTGTAAGATAGGCACTCCTATTATCCCAGTTTTCCAAGTGGGGAAACCGAGGCAAAAAAGTTTGAATATCTCATCCAAGGTCACACAGAGATGGGATTTGAACCTGGGGATTCTGAGTTTAGAGCTGAGTTTGTCAACCTCAGTGTTATTGACATTTTGGACCAGATAATTTTTTTGTTGGTGGGGAGGGTCTCCTGTGTGTTGTAGGATGATTAGCAGCATCCCTGGCCTCTACCTACTAAATGCCAGTAGCACTCCCACCATCTGATGGTTGTGACAACTAAAAACGTCTCCAGGGGCGCCTGAGTGGCTTAATCAGTTAAGCCTCTGCCTTCAGCGCAGGTCATGATCTTGGGGTCCTGGGATCGAGCCCCACATTGGGCCCTGCACTCAGTAAGGAGTCGCCCTCTCCCTCTGCTCCTCCCTCCCACTTGTGTACACTCTGTCTCTCAAATAATTATTATAAATAAATCTAAAAAAAAAACAACAGTCCCAGATAGTGAGTGCCATATGTCTCCTTGTGAGCATTTTCCCGTTGAGAAGCACAGCCCTAAAGCCTGTGCTATTTTTCTCTGTGCTATGCTGCCTCCAAACCCACTTCCCCTATAGGGGAATCAACAGCCCTGTTTCACATCATGGAGAGGGACTAAGTGCTAGCAAAGGACAAAAGTGGAGTGATCAGAGATGAAACAAGATGTTGAGAAGCTGAATGTTGTAGGAAACAAGGAACAAGGAATGCACCAATTAGAGGGGTGTCTCAGAGGTGTGGAGGGGTAGAAAGCCATGATATGAGGAAGGCAGGTCAAGTCCATGTTCCCAGCTGTTGGCTCTGAAGGAAGTAAAGAGAAGTTTGGTTAACATTTGGGGTCAGTGAACTATTTATTATGTACTGTCCAGTAAGGAAGCCACTAGCTATATGTGCCTGTTTAGAATTAATTAAAGTAAGAAATTCAGTTCCTCATACTAGGCACATTTAAACTTCCTGGTCAAGGTGATATCTGATTTCTTCAGTGTCTGGTTATTATCTTTCCTTTGCAACTATTCAGAAATCTATGGGGAGACATTTAAGATCATGCAAGTATCCTGCTCCTCACCAAAATCTCCTCCTAGATTTAGCATCCATTGATGATTCTTGTCTGTACCAGTTCTTTATCATGATGGCTGCAATCCTGCAGTTCTTCTGTAGTTCTGTTTCTTCCATCCAGCAAGACACTAGGCAGTTTGTTGACAGACTGAGATGTAGAGTATAGTGTAAGACAAGGAGAGACGGCATAGTGCCCCTCATTTATATAAGTGGTTAGTTCATTTTGAAATGTTTGCTTCCTTATACAACCTTAAAATAAACACTCAGATAAAGAAGACTCCTTCTTGTCTATTTCAAGGTGCTTAACATCACTAATTCCCATCATCTATAATAGAGAATAATAATTCTTACTTCACATGTGTGTTCTGATGATTGAGTGAATTGATGTAAAAGTAGTTGGCATAGGACAAGGGATGGTTTCCTTCTCTCCTGAGAACATGGAAATGGCCCCATCGGGAGGCAGTGAGACACACTTGGCGCAGAGGGCAGGTTGGATGGAGCTTAGATGATCAGGGAGCAAGTCCATGCTCAAGGATGGAGACTGCCATCCTGTTCCTGGAGTCAGGTGTTAGGGGAGGAGGTGTCACTGCACATTGCCTTCAAGGGACAACCAACTCTCTGATAAGACCTTAATCAGACCATATTCTCTGATTAAATCTGATAAGGCAAGATGGCAGAAAGAGGGAGAACCAACCAGGGTGAAGGGAACTCTGTGCCCATGGAATTGTTCCTCTGTCTATAAAAAGACATGGAAGAAAAAGACCAGAGAGAAATCCAGTAGATGGAGTCAGGGTAAAAGACAGATACCTGCTATGGTCATTTTAGAGAACATTCTAGAAAGATCAACCCAGCTCACGGAACCAGACATGGGGGTGATGTGACCATCAGGCAGGTGGGCTCCAGAGGTATGCACATGGAAGATGTGCTGAGGGCTGTCCTCACCTAGGGTACTTTTGTGGCTCTCCAGTATAAGTCTCCCATGGGGCTCCGAGCCATGGACTCCAGTAGAGTCAGCTCTTCCCTGGAGTTCAGGTCCCTCCTCAGCGCTCACATGGGGCTTGAGCAGGAGCCTGTTGTTCCAGGGGCCAGTGACCTTTGAGGATGTGGCCGTGTACTTCCCCCAGAGTCAGTGGACCAGCCTGGACCCCATGCAGAGGGCCTTGTACCGGGAGGTGATGCTGGAGAATTATGCAAACATAACTTCCTTGGGTAAGTCCTTCCTTGTCCCTGAACTAGCTCTGCCCAGGGGCTGCTGGCTTCCTCCTTGGTGGGTCTGGGATCTCCTGTACCCCTAGGATTGATGTGCCATGAGGCGAGCTTCCTAATCCCCCATTTCTGGTGCAGCTAATGGAGAAAGATCTAGGCTCACTTTGGTTTTCAGAAGGACTTGCCTCTTCACTTCTTCTTGGTGGGGACTCTCCTGAGAGGGGTTTTTGCTCAGCACAGACAGCTGAGCGGGTTCCTGGCGGCCCCACCTTCGCCCCTCCACTCTTGTAGTACCCTGAAGTCCTGGGCCCCATTTCCCCTGTGTGAGAGGCTCCTAGGACCCCTGGACACACCTCTAACTACAGCAGGAGCTTTCTGTCTTCTCTTATAGAGCTAGAGTACGCTTCCTCTCCAGCAAAACAATTTGCGCCTTCCTTAGATCCCCAGATTCTCTCCACACTGAGCTCACTTCGTGTCTCAGGATGCTTAGTCACCTGGCAAAGCAGATGATGGACGGACAGGTGTCAGCAGGGACCCTGTTCAGCTTCTTGTTCCTTTTCTTTCTTCTTCAGCAGCATTTCCATTCCCCAAACCAGATCTGATATTCCAGCTGGAGCACGGGGAAGCACCATGGGGCCTGGATCCCTGGATACCCATCGAGGGAGAGGCCTTGGGATGTGTCCACCCAGGTAAGCAGGAGAACCTATCACCTTCCTCTTTGGCTTGGCCTCCTCCTGTCTTTTAATGATTCAACATGAAAAGAGTTTTGCTTCTGTCTTACCAGTTCTTGTGAGGGTGAAGATGGTCACTCTCATTCAGGAGAAAGCCCCTCACTAGAGCTTCAGCCCCATACTGGAAAAGATCCACCCAGAAATTTCTTTTTCTGTTATTTTTCTTTGTAAAGCTAAAGGATTTCAGAGACACTTAGTGAAAAAAGGCTTTTGGGGGTCAATTTAGGAATATAAATACAATATAGTAAGAACTTGTTTCTTTTTTTAAGACTTATTTATTTATTTGAGAGCAAGAGAGAAATGGGGAGGGGTAGAGGGATAGGGAGACAGTCTTTTTTTAATATTTTATTTATTCATGAGAGACACAGAGAGAAGTCAGAGACACAGGCAGAGGGAGAAGCAGGCTCCTCGAAAGGAGCTCGATGTAAGACTTGATCCTGGAACTCTAGGATCACATCCTGAGCCAAAGGCAGATGCTCAACCACTGAGCCACCCAGGTGTCCTGGGAGAGAGAGTCTTAAACAGACTGCACTAAGAATGGGAGCCTTATCCCATGACCCCTAGATTATGACCTGAGCTGAAACCAAGAGTTGACGCTTGACCAACTGAGCCATGCAGGAGCCCCAGAACTTGTTTCTGTAAGAACATTTTATGTATGTGTGTATGAAATTGTACATGGGAAGAGAACTTCCATGAACTCCTAAACATTATTAGCTTTTGAAAGAAAGCCTGTTTATTTATTGGGAACAAATGCTTTCCTGTTTTGAAAGGTACAGAATTGAGGTGAATGAGAACCATCCAGAGATTGGGTGCTTAGCCTTCTCATTCAGTTGGCTCTGTTCTCATGCTCTTTCCATTCCTTATGTTGTTCAGAGTCTTGTAAACCAAATGCTCCTTCCTAATTTGGCGCCACTTCTGTCATCATCTGTCCCTTTGGGTTGACTCAGCACTTCCTATCATCATTTTTTTTTAAGATTTTATTTAATTGAGAGAGAGAGAGAGAGAGACAGAGAGAGGGAGCATAAGCAGAGGGAGAGGGAGAAGCAGACTCCCTGCTGAGTAGGGAGCCCAATGCACGACTCAATCCCAGGACTCTGGGATCATGACCTGAGTTTAAGGCAGACGCTTAACTAATTGAACCATCCAGGTGCCCATTTCCCATCTTGATGAGAAACCTTTTCCTGTCGACCGCCTGCAGTGGACAGTGTTTTCCTTTGCCACAGCTGTGCATGGTCTGTTTAGTGTGCCAATGGCTTTTTAAGCCAGCACTGTCTAGTGATAGAAATGTTCTATATCTGTGCTGCCCAATATATTAGCCATTGTCCTCATCAGTGCTTGAACTGTGGCTATACAAACAAGGAACTGAATTTTAAATTTTGTTCCATTTTAATTAAATTTAGTTAGCCACATCTTAGTCAGTGTCTGCCTTCGGCTCAGGTCATGATCTCAGTGTCCTAGAATCAAGCCCCATGTGGGGCTCCCTACTTATTAGCAGGGAGTCTGCTTCTCCCTTTCCCTCTGCCCCTCCCTCTTCTTGTGCTCTTGAGCATGCTGTCTCTCTTTCTCTCTCTCAAATAAATAAATAAAATCTTTAAACAGCCAAAAATAAAAGAAAAATAAGAAAATAAATTTAAATAACCACAGTGTCTAGGGTTGCCTTATGGGCAGTGCAGCTTAAAACAATTACAAGAACAGCCTCCACCTGCCTTTTTAGCTTCTAGATCAGTGGTTTCGAATTCTAGTGAGCATCCGAATCTTGTGAGGGGCTTGTTAGAACGTGGACTTATTGGATACCACCTCCGGAGGTTCTAATTCAGCAGGACTGGAGTGGGGCCTGGGTATTTGCATTACTAACAAGTTTCCCTGAGGTGGTAGTCCCAGGACCACGCTTTGAGGGCTACTGTCCTTGAGAATCTCAAACCATATCTTTTAAACTCTGTAGAGTATGCGACTCTTGGTCTCAGGGTCATGAGTTCAAGCCCCACATTGGGTGTAGAGATTATGTGATATAAATAAGTAAATAAAATTTGAAAAACTACGTAGTTGTAAAAAACCTAGTTCTTCTAATAGAGAAGACTCAGTTAAAAAAATTAGTCTGGACTATACTAAAATAGTATAAAATCTGTCAAATCCATTTTTTTAAAGTAAACTCTACATTTATAGCTTAAGTGCTTCCTCTGTTTTCTTTTTATCATGTGAGGTGGTAAAAACAAGACTGAGAATGAGGAGCAAACCCCAAGACTGAACATTTCCGAAGACTCAGTGGTCCACAGGCTGATGGTGGAGGGGCTGCTCAGAGAAGCTCCCCAGCCCCCTCACCATAAGGATAGCTTAGAGAAGCCACAGCTGTGTGACATAGGGGAGAAAACAAACAAAGGAGTTTTCACAGACTTGCTGGCCCAGGATTACAAATCCTCCAGCATTGAAAGAGAGGAGACAGTCAGGCAACTAGAAGGAAATGCTGGTGTCAGCACACATTTCCTTACACAGCAGGGCCTCCCCAGAGGACAGGCAGTTTATAAATGTGCATGTGGCCGGTATTTCAGTCAACACTCAGACCTTCTCCAGCATCAGAGGATTCATACTGATGACCAGCCCTACAAGTGCAAAGAATGCGGGAAAGCCTTCAGGTATAACTCAAAACTATTCCGGCACCAGAAAACCCACACCGGGGAGAAACCTTACTCATGTCAGGAATGTGGACAGGCCTTCAGTCAAAATTCCCACCTCCTTCAGCACCAGAAACTCCACGGTGGACAGAAGCCCTATGCATGTAAGGACTGTGGGAAAGCCTTCAGCTACAACTCAAAACTCATCCGGCATCAGCGAATCCACACCGGGGAGAAACCCTTTAGGTGTAAGGACTGTGGGAAGGCTTTCAGGTGTGGCTATGACTGCATTGTCCATGAGCGAATTCACACCGGGGAGAAGCCGTACGAATGTCAGGTGTGTGGGAAAAGTTTCAGTTCAAATTCAGTCCTCGTTCAGCACCAGCGAATCCACACCGGAGAGAAACCGTACGAGTGTAAGGAGTGTGGGAAAGCCTTCCGCCGAAGCTCGGTATTTCTCCAGCACCAGAGGCTCCACACGGGGGAGAAGCTCTACAAATGCAAAGAGTGCTGGAAAACTTTCAGCTGTAGCTCACGCTTTATAGTACACCAGCGAATCCACACTGGGGAGAAGCCCTATGGCTGCCTGGAGTGTGGGAAAGCATTCAGTCAGAAGGTAACCCTGGTCCAACATCAGCGGCTCCACACAGGGGAGAGGCCTTACGAGTGCAAGGTGTGCGGGAAAGCCTTCAAGTGGAGCGCAAGTTTCATTCAGCACCAAAAGTTGCATGCTCGCAAGAAAGTGGCCCAAGTGACAGGGCCAGCCACACTGGGGCCCCGCTGCCCCTCTTCTAGCTGCCCCCCTCTGCCTGCCCCACGTGTGCACTCTGCCCCCACCGTGCCAGGGGCTGCCTCAGCTTCCCCACATCCCATGCTCCTTCCTCCCTCCATGCCTGTCTTTGTGCTGCTCCCCTTGTCTGAAATGGCCAATTCTTCACCTGTTCAAATAGTGCCTTTCTTTCAGGATCTCACTTCCCCTGGGAAGTCCTCCACTGGGAGCCCAAATCCTTTGTCCCGCTCCCCCTGAGCTCCCTCACATCCTCCACCACCTACCCACCTAGACTTATCAGTTTCCCTGGGCTCCTGACCATGTCTGTGTTGTTTCTCCTCTCATCTTCCCAACTCCATTTTTGTCCTCACACTGAAGAACTGGGTTTGATTCCTCTCTTCCATGCCCTGGGTAAGAAATGGTAGGTGTTGTCCTTTACAGTTTCCAGTTTGGGCCTGTACCATCAGTCTACTAGATTTGGTAGAGTTTACAGAACATTTTGGGGCTTAGGGAGATGGCATTCCAATGGCATAGCCTGTTGTAATTCAAGAGAGAGGAGATTCAAAAGCTGTGGGAGGAGGTAATGAGAGAAAGTATCCAGTGATTGCTTTCAGAAATTAAGGAGGCTCATTTGGTGGGGCAGTAGCAAGGCTCGCTGTGTGGAATCTGAGCCTGGAACTTCTTATTACCTTGATAATGACCATTATGAGGATCCTGTGTAACTAGGCAATAGACCGAGGAAACCACCAGTGAAAAGAATATGAAGTGATGAGTCAGCATTGGTAGCAATGTAAAATCATGTCTCTAAACCTCTTTGGAAGGGGATGTTTCTGTTTGGGTTCCTTTTCTATTCCTGTCCACATCTTTGTTTAATTTCAGTGCCCACTCAGATATGTAGGTATGAAAAGTGATTTGGGCCTGTCTAGTAGAGGGCAGGTGCCTGGTTATAGCCATCTTTCAGTTATACATGGAATGAACTTGGCATCATGCTGGCGAGCCTCTGAGGAAAGGTGAGAAACCTGACCCTGACTTACTGTAGCTCCTGCCTCAGAGGAAAGATCATAATTAATCATACACATACTTGGATGTATTCTCACACCTATTCCACATCCTCTGATTAAATCTGAATTTTTGAGTCCTGGTACTTTTTTTTTTTTTTTATGATAGTCACACACAATGAGAGAGAGAGAGGCAGAGACAGGCAGAGGGAGAAGCAGGCTCCATGCACTGGGAGCCTGACGTGGGATTCGATCCCGGGTGTCCAGGATCACGCCCTGGGCCAAAGGCAGGCACCAAACCGCTGTGCCACCCAGGGATCCTGAATCCTGGTACTTTTTTAAAATATTTTTTTATTTAGCCATTTGACAGAGAAAGGGAGAGAGAGAGGGCACAAGCAGGTGGAGTGGCAGGAAGAGGGAGAGGGAGAAGCAGGCTCCACACTGAGCAGGGAGCCTGATGTGGAACTTGAACCCAGGACCCCAGGATCATGACCTGAGCCAAAGGCAGACGTTTAACCAACTGAGCCACCCAGGCACTCCTGTTTATGGACTCTAATTTTACCAGATGTTTTGATGTCACTGGTTTAGTTATACTGTTCATCTAATGGTATGGGCCCTGATCCTTCTCACAATCACTGCTTCAGGACCGTGTAGCAACATATGGAAACGTACTTTACATAGTTAAGGAATTTAGCACTAAGGAAAGGATATGTACGCTGTTATGATAACACCATACTATTATGTCTGCAAGGGAGGGCATAAAGAAACATTTTTGGTTAGGCTTATTGAGATATACTTCATATCCTTTACCCTTTTTTTAAAATTTTTAAAAGATGTATTTATTTATTTATGATAGAGAGGGACAGAGACACAGGCAGAGGGAGAAGCAGGCTCCATGCTGGGAGCCTGACATGGGACTTGATCCTGGGACTCCAGGATCGTGCCCTGGGCCAAAGGCAGGCGCAAAACCACTGAGCCACCCAGGGATCCCCGCTTTACCTTTTTAAAGTAGACAGTTTGGTGAACTTTGACAAATGAATACAGTTGTGTATCCAAGGTACAGTTGTGTATCCAAGGTAAAGAAAATTTCCATCACCCTCAGCATAGGGAGAAATTTAAATGGTTTGTGGGATGTTGGAGGTTTTTCTTTATTTTCTTCCTTGATAAGATTTGTGTAATACATATAATTCAGCAGAAGAAAAGGCAGAAACCAAACTTACCTTCAGGGCTTCCAGACTCTGCAAAATGCAAAGATCCCTCACCTAGAATCAGTTTTAAGAAAAGCAGTCAAGGGATCCCTGGGTGGCGCAGCGATTTGGCGCCTGCCTTTGGCCCAGGGCGCGATCCTGGAGACCCGGGATCGAGTCCCACGTCGGGCTCCCGGTGCATGGAGCCTGCTTCTCCCTCTGCCTGTGTCTCTGCCTCTCTCTCTCTCTCTCTATGACTATTGTAAATAAATAAAAATTAAAAAAAAAGAAAAGCAGTCAAAATGCAGGAAAATGACAATGACTGGTTTCTTTGTCATTATTTCCCTCACATACACTATATATATATATATTTCTAAATATATAGATATTTAGATCTATAGATATAGATATAATATATTTATTAGAATATAATAAATATTTAGATCTATTAGATCTATTTAGATCTATTAATTAAATATTATTAGATCTATATAGATATATTTCTAAATATAATATATATATATATATATATTTCTAAAAGTCCTATTTCCCACAAGCACTATTCAACAGGACCTCAGGGCTTCTGGGAGGATTAGAGAAAGAAGAGTGGGAATGAGAGGCTCTGAAACTAGCCAGACTTCAGAAAAGTAGAACTTCTAAATATAGTTTAAGGTGAGAAGCAAGCAAAAAGTGTAGGGAAAAATAAATACCAGCTCTGGCTTGAAAAATGATTTTTGATTCCTCACAGCCAATAGATCTATGGGTTTCTGATGATTATTGTTGTTTTCTCATTTATTTCTTCCTTTTTCATTAACTCAACAGGCATGTAGGGTTGCACATTGTTGCACAAATGTGCAATACAACCTCCACAGCACTTATTAGGTGCTAAAAGATGAATAACGTGCCATTCTTTCTAATGTAGGGACCAGTGTCACCAGGTTGTCTGGCATTTAGTAGGCACTTGGGTGTCTTTTGACAAGAGCCATATGTAGCTCACAGAAAGGGCAGTTGTATAAAAATAAACTTATATGTCACTTAAATTCCAACGTAGAGTTCTTCCAAGAGTTTGATTTTCTCTAAAGTGCAATGACAATGTCTAAACATACCTACTCCCCCCTCCCTCCCAAACTTATTAGTTTCACATGAGCAGGAGTACTGCCCACCTCCTTCAGGAAAGGGATATGAGCATCACAATACCTGAATTGTTTAGTTTTGTGACTTTTGCCTTTATCAGTGAGTTGGCTAGGTTAAGACCCTTTAAAAATAACAAACTTACTTTAATGAACGTAAATACACTCAATTATCAGGATTCCTACAAGTAGCCTGGCAGCAAGGGCAAGAGTGCAGCAGGAGATCTGGAGCCTAGAAGACCCAAGCGGGAACAACAGGCTGTCTCTGCTTTCTTCACTTCTGACCACTAGTCTCCTCTTTGCAGTGCTGCTGTCTCTGCCCATAGGCACACAACAGAAGTTGCCCTAGGTTTCATGTTTACAACTCCATTCCGGGGAGCAGTCCAATCTCCCAGGCTGTGGTGCATTTCTGGGAGAGAATCTAATCTCACTTTAGGTGAGGTGTTCACTTGTCTACTCCTTGCTGGCAGAGGGGTTAGGTCACATAGTGAATGAGGCTGCTCTGGTCCCACTCTGGTAAGGGGGAGTTAACTGGGCTGATCAGACACCTGAAAAGTATCTTGCGGACTTCTGAGATCACAACCTTTTCTCTTATTTCTATTGTTCCAGGTCTCCTGGCACTAAGATAACTGAGGAGAAGCTTCAGGGTATTTTTTCCCCAATGTCTGGAATTTAGCTTTGACATCCCTCTAGGGGAGGTGTTGATCATCCTCCATTAATGTTTCTTGGTTCACAGTAAGCTCTCAGTGTGTGCATTCAGATCTTTTGTTGACAACTTGTGACTGGCTAGTGTTGGGGTGGAGGAGCTAGTGGGTTATGGGAAGTGAGGTAATGGTTCCCTCTGATTTCCACATACTCTGTATTTGGGATAAACAGGCACTTCTGGTCATGAGTTGAGTGAGAGTGAGTCTCTGTGCCTCTTGGGCCTTTTCCTTTGGGGTCTGTGTAGTCCACTCAGCAGCTGCAAGGCCAGCTCCCTGGTTAGAGCTCTCCATCTGGTTCATTTCTTGTTATAGTTATTGATTTTCCTTGTCTTTCCACAGCCACTCCAACATGGAAGTTGGCTGGTGGTAAAAAACAAGGTGGCTGCATGATTTCTCCTTTAATCTAGCTACCACTGCCATGCCTCCTGAAGGAATAGGCCTCCAGCAGGTACTCCCTCCATCTTCCTAAACTGTTCCTACCCCATCCCTCATTCCCTGAAGCTGAGATTTCTAAGTAGCACCTTCAGAGAGCTCTCATTCTGTACACTGCCTGTGTCCTTTATGGTAACAGAGATCAGGCATGTTGTGGGCAGACCTCCTCCTACAGTCCAGTGTAAATTGTAATGTGCTCAGTTGTCCTCAGTGTTTACAGTGTGAAGTTGGGCTAATTCTCTAGTTTCTGGCCTTCTCTCCAGGTTAGCACTCAGTATGTCAAGTCTGGCCCTACTAAGACCTCAGTTAAGGGAACAGTGATAGAGCACAGACTCCAAATTGTTCATCTTCACCAGTCCCGCCCCTGCGTTGGGTTCCAGGAACAGTGGGGGCTTAGGAGGTGCACACAGCTGTTTGCCTGTATGACGCGCCCTGCAGGCCAACAAGTCTGGCTTTTCCATCACAGCTGCACGTGGAACCCCCAAACATCTGCGTAGTTCCTGGCCCTGCTGCAGCCCCATCTGTGGCCAGCTGCTGAAGTGTGCGCAGGCAGGCAGGCTTGCAACAAGACCGCTGCTAGACATCTGCAGCACTGACACCTGCAGTGAGGGCGCGGCTTTGCAAGCAGCGCAGGAGCGTCCGGGACCAGCGCACCACCGAGAGCGAAGCCTCCGCTTCCTAGAAGGGGAGGCGGGCTCCGGGGGCTCCGGCTCGCCGCGGGGTGGCCGAGCCCCTGCGCTCCGCAGGAGGGGCGCTCGGTTGCGGCCCGCTGGTGCCCGTGAGCCGTCTTCGGCCTCTCGAGGGTCTGGCCAGCCTTGACCGGGAAGCGCCTGGCCCAGGGGACCAGTGATCTGCGCCCCGGGCGGTGGAGCGCGCTCCCTGGTCTGCGAGCGCACCTGCCTCGTGCCACCGCCCCGTCGCAGCTGGAGGTGGCGGCTGCAGGTGGCGGCTGCAGGTGGCGGCTGGCGTCCCGGCTCCCCGGGGGTCCGAGCGGGTCTGCGCCCGCCGCCACCCAGGGGCGCACTGGAGCAGCTTTGTCCTGCTTGGACTCGCGGCCACGCCGCCACCTGCAGCTCGTCCCGCAGCCCTTCTGGGTCCAGGCGTCCTCCGCCCTCTTTCTCTCCAGAGGCGGCCTCTCTTCGTCGTGGTGTCCAAGATGGACAAAGCCCGACAGGTTTTAATCAGTAATAACTGTTGCAGGAGGGAAGAGTCCAGGGTGAACTGAATGCAGCTTTGACTGCAAGAAGTGGCGTGGCTGGACTTTTTAAAAGGAGAATGGACCGTGTGTGTGTGTGTGTGTGTGTGTGTGTGTGTGTGTGTGTGTGTGTGTGTGAGTGGAGGCCCCGGGGAGTCAGGGAGAAGTCATGTGAGACCCATATGGTTTGCTAGCGGGTCTCAGGGAAGTTTGGCTCCTACCCTCCAGAGACTGGGAGACAGGGGCCCTGTCTTCAGGTGTTGGGTGGAACGAACACTAAATTCTTTTGGCAGCCCTGAATTTTCTCAGATAGACACTCTTGAGTGTTTGTTGGTCTTTACACGCCAAGGTTAAGGCTGAGTAGAGAAAGGGCCCAGGAGAGACCGGCTCGAGTTTGGCCAAGGACAGAATCTTTGTCAATGGTCAGGGTCACTGAACATGCTCAGTAAAAACAATTTTCTTCTCCAACCCAGTCACTGAAGCCAGGATTCTCCAGCTGAGACTCAGTTCCGGACAATGGAGTGTAGTGGTTTATTTTGAGAAGCTTTGTGCCTTGCCAGCAAGAATGTGGAAAAATACACTGAAGGAGTAATTACAACTGTGGGTGAGGGTAGGGGCCCAGCTGCCCTGGAGTGGTAGGACAGTCATTGTTTTGAGTCTAGGAGTCCGGGACGGTGAGTAATAGATGTACTTACAGGCTGCAAGAGAGGGGAAATCTCACGTGGAGGTCTTCTGCTGTCTTACTCTCAGGCTCTTCCTTTTCCAAAATTAGGGAGCCATGCGGGAAGCTGGGACTCAGTACCTATGCTCCAGAAAGTGTGGTCTTAGGTGATCTTGATAACCTTTCTTATATTAGCTCTCAGATCAGCATAGGACTCAGGCATGACATGGCTTCCCCTTGCTACACAGTTATGGAAAGTGTATATGTGTGTCTATGCACATGACGGTGTGTTTGGGAAAAGTGGTTTGAGGTGACATGAGATTATCCAGGGAAATATCTTTGATTGGAGAGAGGACATGCTATTCAGAAGATCCATTTAAGTGTGTGAAGTTGGAAGCACCTGCCAGTAAAACTTTCTAGGAACTATAAATCCATATCACTTTCAACAAATGAAGTCTATCAACAGGCAGGAAAAGCCTTTTAGGGGAATATGTTTGCTCTGTAAATTGTGTATGCAGAAGAGCATAAGATTAGGGCTTTTCTGTTCATTCAGTAGGTATGTACTGAGCACCCTATGTGCCACGCCATGAATTAGGCTTTGGAAGTATCAGGGAAACATCACTAATTGTTACATAATGTATTGATCTCTTACTTTTATAGATTCATTCATTTAACAAATTTTATGAAGTTCCTACTTTGTGCCAATGCTCATCAAAACTGCCTTCATAAAAGAGCTGAATAAATGACAAGAGCACATGTTCCTGAATGAGACACATTAGTTTTATGAAACTGTCGCTTCACAAATCTATAAATCAAGGCAATCCCAATGGAAATAATTTTTGTTCCAAAGTCCTAAAGAATCTGGATTCAGAAATTTATATGAAAGAATAGGTCAAAAGATTAGCTAAGGATATTTTGAGAAAATAAAAAAGGGAATTTGCTCGACCCAGATAGCAATATTTTCTTGAGATCTTGGTTCTCTACCGCTACCCCTACTTTAGTACATACTCAGGGCCTCCTAAGTTTCTAAAGTTTCTTCCTGAGTAAGATAGTTGTGCTCCTTCTTTAGAAGGCTCCTCTTTCCCCAACCCACCCACCTCGTCCTCCTGGGTGTTCCACTTCCCTTTCCACTTGCTAAAAGCAGAGGATGAGCTGAAAGGAGTTCCAGAACCACT